AAAAAAAAAAAACAAAGTTCAGAGATAGCGTCTAGGTCCTCCTAAGTTCAAGACCCAGGCAGGAATGACAAAATAAATAAGTAAACCAACAAAATTAAGATAAATTCAAAGGTGCATAAATATATAAATGAAGGAGAATAATGGAAGAGGTGGCACTGATCATAACTGATATATGGAATTGTAACCTGACAACTACTTAATAATAAAAGAGAAAGCAATCTAAATTATAATTCTTGATAGAAGAGTAAGTTTTTCTTTTTGCAACAAACAAAAGAAGCAATTCTTCTTTTTTAAACTTTCAATTTACCTTTGGTTGGAAAATCACTTTGAAGTTCTATAAGAGGACTTCTATAACAAAGGTAGCAGCACAAGCTAAAATGCCCTTCTCTCTCTCTCTATTTAAGTTGTGCTTCCATTTTTAACTCCTCTGAAATATTCCAAAGATGCCATGACCATCCTAACACCTAAAAGCTCTGCACTCCTATACATATATGAAAATGTCATGATGAAGCCCATTAGTCTCTATGATTCATATATGCTGACACAATTTTTTAGGCTCAAATATTTTCTGTATATATGCTCCCATGGGGTGGGGGAGGATCTGTCTCATTTCTCTCAATATTCCCATTAGTGCATGACAAAGAATAAGTAAATGTTGGCAATGAACTTCCATGAACATTTCCCATGTACCTGTTCAGTGCCCACAACCATTGGTACCACAAGCCAGCAGTGATGAGTGGACACCATAGCCTTAGCACTCGGGGAGTTTATAATCAACACTGAAGAGATAGGTTGGACTGTAATTGTCGATATTCTCTGCTTTGCTTTCCTTCACTAGTACTCAGCATCCAGCCCTACTTACATGGAATAAAACCTCAAGCTACCATTTTCTTCCTTCCTTTCTTTCTTTTTTTCAGTACTGGGGATTGAAACTCTACCACTTGAGCCACACCTCCAGCCCCCTTTACATTGCTTTAGGCCTGACCAGCCTGGGCAGCTCTCTGTGTTGCTAGAGATGCCACCTAGCTCTCTTACCTAGCTCTTGTGTTTGCCCTGTAGCTGGAGGAACAGGTGTGCACCACTACTCTCAGCCATTAGCTGAGATGGATTCACTCAACCTTCTTTTTTGCCTGGATTAGTCTCAAACCACAATCCACCAGCTCTATCTCCCAAGTAGCTAGGATTACAGGCTTGAGTCACACTGCACCCAGCTCATTATTTGATTAAGCTCAAACACCCACATAAGGCTTTACTTTTATCTGAGTCAACACAACGGTTGGCCCGATGGATGGTTCTGCCACAAGGCGACTGCCTTCCAGTAAAATCTTCTCGGAGTTAGACCAAATAGAACCAGAAGAAAAACATACTGGATATGTCCACCTTTGTTTCATAACACAGATTATTTGAAGTGAAAGACACCTGTTAGATAACACGGCCCAGCTGTCCCATCTAACCCGTGGAGAAAGCAAGCACTAAAAAGTAAATGATGATCTCGGCCAGTGGCTCCTATCTATAATCCTAGCTACTTGGGAAGCTGAGATGTGAGGGTCAGGGGTCAAAGCCAATTGGGGGGGGGGCGGGGAATCTTCAAGACTTTATTGCCAATTAGCCATCAAAAAGCTTGACTGGAGGGATAACTCAAGTGGTGGAGCACCAGGTATTAAAAAAAGCCAAACCAGAGAATGACAAACCCAATGCCTATGCATATGTACTCTCTTTCTCTTTCTCTCTCTCATTTCTCTCTCTGATTTGTTTCTTTCTCTCTCCCTCTCTCATACACACACACACACACACACACACACACACACACACACACATGAAATGGCTTGTCCACAGTCAGGCAGATAATCAGTAGGCTGAATCTGGATAAGAACCTAATCCTTAGGCAGACACCAACTATTCAGGTGTCTAAGGTCTGAGGCTCTCCGTTCAAAGCCATCGTGGGCAGGAAAATCCATTAGGACTCTTTATCTCCAATTAACCCCCAAAAAGCCAGAGTGGAGCTATGACTCAAGTGGTAGAGTACTAGACTTGAGCAAAAAAGCTAAGGGATAACTTGCAGGCCCAGAGTTCAAGCCCCAGTACCAAAAATAGATGAAAAAATTTCCTACAACTATGCCCAAGTATTTACTAGCTGACCAGCATATGACAAGCAGGTATTGAGTGAATCTGCTTATTTCAAATCTGATTTCATTCATATGGGAAATAACTTATAAAACAAAAGCAAAGTACCAACCTGGAACAAACGTAGTAAGATATTCAAACCATTGTCTGATTGTTGAGTCACCAAATAAATACACCATTTTCCTTTGTAAGCATTCTGTAATGTTGTCAGGGTCATTGAACTGGCGCATCTTAAAGTTTCTAGGCCTCCACTGATCTTTGTAATAATACCCAGAAGGAAAGGATCCTGAGCCTTGAGATACTTCTAAGTTGTTAATTTCTAAAAAGGAAAAGGGGGAAAAGATATATTGCTGAAATTCTCCTCCAAAAATAGATGAAAAAATGTTCCGACAAATAGTTATGCTCAAATATTTGCTAGCCTTTCAGCATATGGCAACATTTCCTGCTGTCACATCTCAAAGAAATCCCAGAGTTTCCCCCAGTACACATAGGTTCTCTTTTGTGCAAAAATGGGAAGATGTGAAATGGTTTTAAGGGTGGTGGTGGACAGAGGAAGGAAGGCGAGCATTCTAATTATGTACTTTAAAAAAAAATCAAAGTCAGAAATAAAGGAGGCAGAAAACAAGGAAATGTGTGACTGTAAGCATCTGTCTAGCATTATTTCAGAAGAACCATTTTCATCCACAAATCTGTAAAACAGGTAACAACTTAATTTCATATTTTACATATGCATTAGAGTACTAATATTGACAATGTTCCTTGGTTTGTTAAAAAGTTTTAATCTGTAAGTTCTTGATTCTATTTTTGTTTCAAAAAATCACTCCTGAATATAGAAAATAAACCAATGATATGGAAAGGTTTATTCTCCACAATACAAAAGGTTCAGAAGGTGTCCGTGCATAATAAGCAATATCAAAAACTATCAGTATTATGTACTCACTACTGTAGCCTAGCAACACATGATAACACTAATCCCAGGACACCTTTCCAAGGGAAGTCAACACTTTTTGTTGAAAATGTCACTCTAGAAACAATACATTATACATACTCCAAAACAAATAGTAATGGCTAATATTTCTCCAAGTTTATTCTTTATCAAATATCATTCTAAACATATAATCACACATGAAGTCTATTATCACATATTAAGTCTTGCCCTACAGAACAACTTCACTAAGGTCCCAGAGATTATTTAGGTGATGAAGACACAACTTGGCCACAAGTAGGAGAACTAGAAGCCCAGGTTTTTAACTACTGTGCTAGATCACATCTTGATAAATAATCCTAGGTGTCAGCCATTCCTTTTGCTTTAGGACAAGGAGATATATACCTATTTGTAGCAACAATTAATTGAGTATGCATTTCTAACTATCATTCAAATCTACAATCCTGAAGAAACCACCATTATATGTCATGTCTTTGTGTACTCCAAAGTTCACCCATGACCATAATCCAATCATTTTTGTCTCCTGTTAAACCACAACTTGAAGTGCAGATACTCAAAAATTTAAATACGGCTAAGTCTCTATTGGTGATTATTTTTGGGTTATTTTACTTGTTGACATTATCCCTTTTAAATTCATGTTAAACATGAATTTGGGTTTTTATCCACTTCAAAGAAAATGCCTTATTTTATAGTGCATATTAAAATCATTTCTTCTTAAACATCTACTTGTTGTTTTTATAAATTCAGGTCCCAAATGGAAAAGAAGATAGTTTTTTAATATATTTTTTATAGTAAAGATACTGTACAGAGGGGTTACAGTTACATGGGCAAGGTAATGAGTCCATGTCCTCTGGAACATTGCTACCCACTCCTTGTTTTTCCCCTACCATCCTTTCTTCCTCACCTCCCTGACTCCTCCCCTCCCCCCCACCAAAGTTGTAAAATCCACTTTCACCATACTGTCTTGTACAGAAGATGGTGTTTTTTTAAAGCTTTATTTTGGCAAAGATGATTTTTAAATTAAATGTAGAGGGGAAACAGAGTCTTTATCTGACTTATTCAAACACAATTTCCCGAGCCAGATGAAGTAGCCTACTACTATAGTCCGGTTTCTCAAGAGGTTGAGGTAAGAGATTCACTTGAGCCAGCACCAATGGCTCATGTCTGAAATCCTAGCTACTCAGAAGGCTGAGAACTAAGGATGGAGGTTCAAAGACAGAAAGGTCCCCCTGAGAGTCTTATCTCCAGCCAACCACTCAAAAACCAGAAGTGGAGTTGTGGCTCAAAGTGGCAGAGTGCTAGCCTTGAACAAAAGAGCTCAGGGACAGTGCCCAGGCCCTGAGTTCAAGCCCCTCAACTGACAGCGAGAGAGAGAGAGATGAGAGACAGAGACAGAGAGATGAGAGACAGAGACAGAGAGCAGGAGAGAAAGAGACAGAGAGGACAGAGACAGAGAGCAGGAGAGACAGAGACAGAGAGCAGGAGAGAAAGAGACAGAGACAGAGAGAGCAGGAGAGAATCACTTGAGCAATGGAGTCCAAGGACAGCATGGGTAAAATAGCAAGAAGCTATCTTAAAAAGTGAGGGGGTGGGCTGGGAAGGTGGCTCAGTGTTGGAGTGCTTGCCTTGCATGCATGAGGCCCTGGGTTCGATTCCTCAGCACCACATATGCAGAAAAAGCTGGAAGTGGCGCTGTGGCTCAAGTGGTAGAGAGCTAGCCTTGAACTGAAGAGCTGAGCAACAGCGCCCAGGCCCAGAGTTCAAGCACCACAACCAGCAAAAAAAAAAAAAAGTGAGGGGGTATTGCTCAAGTGGTAGAACTCCTCCTTAGTAAATGTGAAGCCCTCTCAGAAAAAAAGAAAGAAAAAGAATTCTTAACATATTATCATTAAGTATGACTCTATCATGATGATACTACACCTTGCCGAAAAGTTCCCTCATTATTTCAGTATACCAAAGTTGCATAGATATGGAGCTATGCAGAAGACACCTGGAGCCTAAAAAAACATGTACTAGAATAAAAATTAAGTGTTATATTAATTAATGTTATATTTAAAAAATGCTAGTAGAGAGGATTTTGAATGTTCTCCAAACAAAGAAATGCTGTATGCTTGAGAGATGATGACTATGCCAATTACATGATTTGGTCACTACTCGTTGTATTCAAAATGTCATACTGTAGTCCATAAATATGAACAATTATATGTGAATTCAAAATAAAAATCCTTTGCTGGTTAAAAAAAAAGAGTGACTGTCAACAAGAAAATACTTTGGATGTCAAGCCTAAATTAAATTTAGTAATTTAGTGCAGTTACAATTTTACCACCACTGATTTGGTGATTCAGCTATTTTGTGTCAAACATATGTTAAAAAGAAAAGTATATACCACACAGGAAACAGTTACTGTTTCCACGCAAATGTTAATTATACTTACTACCAGAAATTGGTAATGCAGACAAATTAATGAACTTGACAGTCATTCATGCATTTCCTGCCCTCCCTTTTTTTGTATTACTGAGATTTAACTCAAAGGCAGATGGCTCTACCACTTGAGCCACACCCTCAATCTTTTTTTTTCTTTATTTTTCAGGTAGAGTCTGGAGTTGAACTCCTGATCTTGGCTTCCAGTAGTTGAGATTACAGGCATGAACCAGGTGCTCATCTTTAAGCATGCCCTATGCCTCATCATAGCACTTTTTTTCTTTTTTCTCTCTCTTTTTTTTTTAAGTAAAATGCACATACTGACTCATGGTCAATTGGGACAAAAGCAATTCCTATTTTAATATGATTCCAAGCAATCTAAGGTTGTTTAAAAAAAGTTAGTGGAAGAGGACTATTGCTCTTTACAAAAAAATCTTATATAATAATAATGTTAAAATAATGAAAGAAACATCAATTCATCATTAGAATATTGTGGAAATCATTGCTACAGATGAGATGTAATGAGTACTAAAAATTTGTGAGTAAAACTAGAAACAGAATGTTAGGTGTTTGAGTGCCCCCTCCTGGTCACCATTGCAAACTTCAGTTCTACTACCTTGGCTGATTCCCTTGACATACAAAGCCCTCCTCTGCTTTCCATTTATATACTAGTTACAAAATTATTTCCTATCCAAAGCTAACTGATTTTACTCCTACTCACTAAATACTTTGTTCCTCTAAAAATCTATAAAAGGATTCACTAGTTATTGACCTGTTTTCCTTCTAACAAGAATAATACATCACAAACCACCAGTTCTTGAATGATCTGTCAGGTAAAGGTAAATATTCCTCCCACTACCTACTCCACAGGACACCAGAAACATCTCAAGGTGGGCAAGCCAGACACAGCTGGAGTAACACAAAGCAGATTCAGTAGTTGGACCAAGGTCTGGAGGATATCAGACATGACAGGTGTTTTAAGTGTGGTACTACTGAGGAATGCTATGCCTATAGACATCTTGGTTATAGGCTAAAACAAATTCAGACAGCTACAAGATATTTATTTCCACTAATATTTCTTTCACATATATGTCCTCTAAAGTTAATAATGTATCTGATTCAAGATCTGCAACCAAGGCTAACTAGCACCAGCAAAATTAGCGTAAAACCCTATCTGAAGAAAAAAAAAAAAACTACCCAGGCACTGGTGGATCACCCCTTTAATCCTACCTACTCAAGAAGCTGAGATTTGAGGATCATGGTTCAAAGCTAGCCCAGGTAGGAAAGTCCGTGAGACTTTTAGCTCCAATAAACCAGAAAAACGGAAGTGGTGCTATGGCTCAAGTGATAGAGCACTAGCCTTGAGCTGAAGAGTTGAGGGACAGCACCTAGGTTGACAGTTCAAGTCCCATGACAAAAAGAAAAGAAAAAGATAAAAAGAAAGGCTAAAGCAAAGGATTCCAGGCACCAGTGGCTCATTCCTATAATTCTAGCTTCTCAGGAGGCTGAGGTGTGAAGGTCAGAGTTTGAAGTCATCCCAGACAGTAAAATCTGTGAGGCTCTTATCTATAAGAAAGGAAAGAAAAGAGAAAAAAGGAAAGCCAAGCCAAGCCAGAAGTATAGCTGTGGCTCAAACTGTAGAGCACTAGCCTTGAGCACGAAAGCTCTGGGACAGCGCCCAAGACCTGAGCTCAAGTGCCAGAAACAAGAGGAGGGGGAGGCACAGATAGAACAAGTGGTAGAATACTTGCCTAGCAAGCCAAAGGCCGGGGGGGGGGGAGGGGGGCAGGGAACGACAATGATGATGACAACCACGTAACAGCAAGCCACAGTGGGCAGTGGAGCTATGACTGGCAGTACACTGCTGGAATCCAGGCCACAGACAAAATTTATGTTAGACTGCAATATTTCAAAAGTTATGAATTGAGCTGGGCACTGGTGGCTCCTGCCTG